TCATCATCATCATCATCATCATCCTCATCATCATCATCATCATCATCATCAGCAACATCGTCATCGACATCATCATCATCATCATCATCATCATCATCATCATCATCATCATCATCATCAGCAGCATCATCCTCATCACCATCACATCATCATCATCATCACCACCATCGTCACCACCAACGCCACTATTATAATCACCATCACAATCATCGACCTCATCAGCATCATCATCAGAATCATCATCATCACCACCATCGTCACCACCACCATCCTCATCATCATCTCATCATCATCATCATCGTCATCATCATCATCATCATCATCATTTCCTCGCCCTCGCTTCTGCTCCTGCCGCGGCTCCTGCTCCCCCCGGCCCCAACGCCATGGTCGGCTGAGGCTCTGCTGGAGATCGCTCTCCCAGCGGACCCTGCCCCTGCGAGGCGGCGCTGCTGCCGCGCACGCACACCCTCACAGGAGAAGCGACGACAAAGACGACGACGAGACGACGACGACGACGACGACGACGACGACGACGACGACAACGACGACGTCGAGACGACGGCGCGCGGCCACGACGACGACGACGACGACGACGAGGACGACGACGACGACAACGACGACGACGAGGCGACGGCGAACGGCGACGACGACGAGGCGACTGCGCACGGCGACGACGACGACGCGAAACCCGCGCCACCCTCGCCTCAGGAGAAGGAGCGCGGGCTTGGCAGGGCGGCCGCCTTTGCCCGTTGATCTGCCTGCCGACCTCCGCCAGGGCCGTGACGACGGGCCGGTACCTGCGGGCCCGCCTCTGATCGCCGTGGCGCCGCAAGCACACGAGCTGGCGCCAGGAGAAGCGGCCCGGCAGAGAGGCACGAACCTCCGCCCAAGCCCAGTAGGTGCAGCAGATCAACCAACATGCACAGACTCTCCCCCTCCCCCTCCTCCTCCTCCTCCTCCTCCTCCTCCCTCCTCCTCCTCCTCCTCCTCCTCCTCCTCCTCCTCCTCCTCCTCCTCCTCCTCCTCCTCTCCTCCTCCTCCTCCTCCTCCTTCCTCCTCCTCCTCCTCCTCCTCCTCCTCCTCCTCCTCCTCCTCCTCTGCCTCCTCCTCCTCTGCCTCTCCTCCTCCGCAAAAGCCCTCCTCCTCCTACTCCTCCTCACCTCCTCCTCCTCCTGCCTCCTGCTCCTCCTCCGCTCTTCCACCCCTTCTCCTCCTCCTCCTCCACCTCCTCCTCCTCCTCCTCCTCCTCCTCCTCCTCCTCCTCCTCCTCCTTCCTCCTCCTCTTCCTTCCTCCTCCTCCTCCTCCTCCTCCTCCTCCCTCCTCCTCCCGCCCTCTCCTCCTGATCAATCATCATCATAATCATCACCACCATCATCATCATGCTCATCATCATCATCATCATCATCATCATCATCATCATCATCATCATCATCATCATCATCATCATCATCATCATCATCATCATCTCACCACCACCACCACCACCACCATCATCATCATCATCATCATCATCATTATCATCATCATCATCATCATCATCATCATCATCATCATCATCATCATCATCATCTCATCATCATCAGCCGTAGCATCATCATCAGCATCATCAGCATCACCCACAGTATCATCATCATCAGCATCATCATCAGCATCATCATCATCAGCAGCAGCATCATCCTTCTCCGCTCCTCACCCTCCTCCTCCTCCTCTCCTCCTCCCCTCCTCCTCCATCCTCCTCTCCTCCTCCTCTCCCTCCGCTCCCTCACCCGCCTCCTGCTCCTCCTTCCCCTCCTCCCCCTCCTCCTTCCTCCTCCTCCTCCTCCTCTCCTCCTCCTCCTCCTCTTCCTACCTCCTCCTCCTCCACCTCCCTCCTCCTCCTCCTCTCCCCTCCTCCTCCCTCCTCCTCCCTGCACCATCTATCATCCTCATCATCATCATCATCATCATCATCCATCATCATCATCATCATCATCATCATCATCATCACCATCCCCATCATCATCATCCATCATCATCATCATCATCATCATCATACATCATCCTTCTCCGCTCCCTCTCCCTCCTCCTCCTCCTCCTCCTCCTCCTCCTCTGCCTCCTCCTCCTCCTCCTCTTCTTCTTCGTCTTCTTGTTCTTCTTATGAGTTTTCTTTTTCTTCTTATTCTTATTATTCTGCTTCTTCTTTTTCATTATTATTATTCTTATTCCTCTTATTCTTATTAGTATTAATATTATTCTTCTTATTATTATTCTTATTCGTATTATTATTTTTCTTCTTCTTCTTCTTCGTATTCTTATTCTTGTTATTCTAAGTATGATGTTTCTTCTTATTATTATTCTTATTAGTATTCTTATGTTTCTTATTATTATTATTATTATTATTATTATTATTATTATTAGTAGTAGTATTATTATGATTATTATTATTAAAAATAATAACAGTATTATTATTAGTAATATTACTATTATTATTATATAATAGTAGTAGTAGTAGTAGTAGTAGTAGTAGTAGTAGTAGTATTGTTACTATTATTAGTCTTATTATTAGTACTATTATTATAACTATTGTGAATATTATGAATGTGAGTATTCTGATTCGCCGTCTTATTGTTCTTATTCTTCTTATTATTATTAGCATTCTTCTTATTCTTCTTATTATTATTATTATTATTACTATTCGTCTTCTTCTTATTATTAGTATTAGTATTCCTCCTCTTCCTCCTCCTCCTCCTCCTCCTCCTCCTCCTCCTCCTCCTCCTCCCTCCTCCTCCTCCTCCTCCTCCTCCTCCTCCTCCTCCTCCTCCTCCTCCTCCTCCTCCTCCTCCTCCTCCTCCTCCTCCTCCTCCCCCTCCTCCTCCTCCTCCTCCTCCCCTCCTCCTCCTCCTCCTCCTCCTCCTCCTCCTCCTCCTCCTCCTCCTCCTCCACCTACTCCGAGGATGGGCTGGCATCCCCCAGCAGCACCTCCTGGCTCTGGGTATTCTCCTGCAGCTGGCCGTCCTACTGCGCCTCCAGCAGCGACGGGTGGACGCCGGCGTGTCGCACCACTTCCTGCAATCGCTGCTTTCCACGCCTCATCCTCCTCGTCCTCGGCAGCACCGGCAGCAGCCTGTTCTTCGATGTCCTGCAGGGTGCCACCTTCAGCTCCAACGCCTCTGGCCTCCTCCTCCTCCTCCACCTCCTCCTCCTCTTCTTCTGCCTCCTCCTGCTCATCGCGGACGCCTGCCCCAGCTGCACGCCGCGCCCACTCCTGCACGGCCACTGCACAAATCCGGCACATGACGGCGTTGCACGGCGCGCACGCCAGCGCCCAACCGCCTCGCCCCCAGCCGCCGCGGCAGTTTGAGCACTGTTTTCCGCGGCCAGGGCGCGCGCTCGTCAGCCGGGAGCCGCATCCGGGGCAGCAGAGGGATGCCTCGCCGCTGCGGGCCGCTGCATGCTGCGACGGTGGCTGCTCCTGCACCTCGGCCGCCAGCGCGGCCGCGCCACACGGCGGCGTGGCGGGGGCGACGTTGAAACGTTCCTCCGTCACCCACCCGTCCTCGCCACCTCGCTCCTCAGCCCCCTCAATCCCTCCTCCCTCGGCGGGCTGCGCTTCCCCTGCTGGCGCAGCAGCCGTGGTGGGGCGTGGGGTGCCCAAAGGGCTGCCCACGGGAGTCACAAACTCGACGGGAAGCGGCGACCCCTCCCGCGCAAACGGCGTCGGAGGGCAAGGCCGTTCCCCCAAGAGCATCTCGAGGTGGGCGACCCTCTCCTCCAGGTCGTGGCGGACCCCAAGAAGATCTGGACCAGGCGGCAGCTCTTCAGCGGCGGCCTCGTCCAGCATTGCCAGCAGCGAGTCGAAGAACTCGAGGGGCGCTCCTGGCCCCGGGTGGGGTTCGATGCCCTCCTCGGTGAGGTCCCGGCGCCAGCCCCCAAGGGCGGCCAACCAGCCCTGCCAGGCATCCCGGCCGTGCTCACCCCCGCCGCGGCCCGCGCTGGGCGCACTGCCAGTGGACCCACCACGTCTGCACTGCTTCCCGCGAGTACCCCAGATCCCGCGCAGCCACGTCGATCGCCTGCGGGCCTCCTGAGGTGAGGAAGGCCGCGAGCTGCGCGAGGTTCTGCTCCCGGGTGGGCGGGGGCACCGCTGGCGCCGCCAAGCCAGCGGCTGCCGCAGGGAACGCGGCCTCGCCCGGGGCGGTGGCGGCGGCGGCGGGCAGAGCTTGCCGGCGCGCCCACGCGTGGCCGCATAGGAAGCCCAATGGGCAACAGCAGCAAGCAGTTGCCGCCGCGAGGAGAATGAAGGTGGCCACGATGACGAAGATTCCCAGGTAGAAGTACCAGCGCCCCACGCAGAACGGGGCCTCGTCCTCGTAGCACACCCCGCCCTCGCCCGCGGGCCCTCTCTCGAGGACGGACTCGTTGATCCAAGAGGCTGCCGCCGCCGCTGCACTGGCCCCAGCAGCGCGTACGTCGTTGACAACCCCCTGGACTTCTGGATCACGAGCGGCCTGGATTTCCCACCAAGCAAATGGCAGGCCCCCGCCAGCAGCACCCGCAGCCCCAGCCCCAGCCAGCGCGGCGAGTGCATTCCCCCGCGCACCCCAGCGCGCCAGGGCCATGCAGAACGGCTCGCGAAAACAGGAACTGGAAATGTCTCAGTTTACCCGCCCTCGTGAACCCTACGGCCCCTTGACGCCCTGCTCCTGCTCCTGCTCCTGCTCCTGCTCCTGCTCCTGCTCCTGCTCCTCCTCCTCCTCCTCCTCCTCCTCCTCCTCCTCCTCCTCCCTCCCTCCTCCTCCCTCCTCCTCCTCCCTCCTGCCCCTGCTCCGCATCTTCCTCCTCCGCCTCCTCCTCCTCCTCCTCCCTCCTCCTCCTTCCTCTTCCGCCCTCCTCCTCCTCCCCTCCCCCTTCCCCTCCCCCTCCTCCTCCCCTCCTCCTCCTCCTCCTCCTCCTCCTCTCCTCCTCCTCCTCATCATCATCATCATCCCATCATCACCATCATCACCACACCACACACCACCAACACCACCTCATCATCATCATCATCATCATCCATCATCATCATCATCAACACCACCACCACCATCATCATCATCATCATCATCATCATCATCATCATCATCATCATCATCAGCATCATCATCATCATCATCAGCATCATCATCATCATCATCATCATCATCATCACCATCATCATCATCAGCATCAGCATCACATCATCATCATCACTCATCAGCAGCATCATCATCATCATCATCATCATCATCATCATCATCATCATCAGCATCATCATCAGCAGCAGCATCAGCATCAACATCAACATATCATCATCACATCATCATCATCATCAGCAGCAGCAGCGGCATCAGCATCAGCATCATCAGCATCAGCATCAGCACAGCATCAGCATCATCATCAGCATCATCATCATCAGCATCATCATCATCATCATCATCATCATCATCAATCATCATCATCATCATCATCTCATCATCATCATCATCATCATCATCATCATCATCATCATCATCATCATCATTCATCATCATCATCATCATCCGCCATTCCTCCGCCGCAGTCTCCTCCTCCCCCTCCCCTCATCCCCCTCCCTCCCCCCTCCTCCCCTCCCCCTCCTCCTCCCCCTCCCCCTCGACACAGCGCGCGGAGAGAAGCATGGAAGGCTCAGGAGGCCGAGGCTCTGCAGCAGCAGCGGCTCGCGGAAGAATCACATGCTGAAGCGTTCTGTCGCCCGGGGGGGGCTCGGCCCCTGGCCTCCGTGGCCTAGGTAGGGGGCCTCCCGGATGGGGTCTCCGGCGTAGGCGGCGGCGGATCGCGCCGCATCGCCGATGCATCGGCGACGCATCGGCGCCATCGGCGTGGAGAAAATCAGGCTCTACATCGAGTCGCATCGGCGATGCATCGGCGATGCGGCGCACTCCTCGGACCCCATCTGGGAGGCCTGAGCCAGAAGAGCCGGGTGTTCATAGAGGTGCCCCTGGCCCGAGGTGCCCCCAGTTTTGCTCCTTCACTTTGGTGCTCCTGGGGCCCTCGAGGCCGTTGCGGCCTCCTTGGGAATGCCGGGGGCACCCTGGGCCATGGGCACTTCTGTCGAGTAGAGGACCGCCTACATCATTGGTTTGCCCCAAAACTTGAGCTTCTCGCCGAGTCCTTTGCAGAATGCTCGCAGATCTACGAACACCGCACACAAAAACGGGAAACCACTTCCACGGGCGATGCCCTACAGGCGCGCCATTGCGCACAGGACACCCGCGGAAACCACAGGACGCAAGGGTACCCTGCCTCTGGGCTGCAGAGGACACGACGCGCGATGCACAAGACACAACTTGTGTCCTGTGCATCGCGCGTCGTGTCCTCTTGTCAAGAGTACCCTTGTCAAGGGTACTCTTGTCAAGAGTACTCTTGTCAAGAGTACCCTTGATTTGGCAGGGTCGCCCTATTCATCCGGCTCGACTGTACTCGATCCTGGCGACACCCGGAGCAGGACCTCGGGAGGACCACTGGGGGGGGGCCTCCGGCAGCGAAGAGAGCGCCCACGGGGGGGGCCGAGGAGGCGCGCGGCCGAGGACAGAGGGCCGCGGGCGGGTGGGCGCGCGGAGCGGTCGGCCGGGGGAGGGCGGCAGGGGGAGGAGGAGGAGGAGGCGACGGGGCGGGGCGGGGCGTCGAGGTGGAGGCGGGGGGGAGGGGGAGGGGGAGGGGCGAGGGGCGAGGAGCGAAGAGAGGAGGGGGAGGAGGGGGAGGAGGGGAGGGGGAGGAGGAGGAGGAGGAGGAGAGGAGGGGGGGGAGGAGGAGGAGGAGGAGGGGGAGGGGGAGGAGGAGGAGGCGGAGAGGGAGGTCCTCCTTCTCCACCAGCTCGCCGCCCCATGCTGTAGCCTGCTCTCTTTCCGCCGCCCCCCCCCCGCTGCGAAGGCCGATGGAAGGGAGGGTAAGGCGGCGCTGCGGTACAGCTCCTGTGCCCGCAGCACCGAGCACCGAAGTGGTGGAAGGGCAAGAGGGAGAGCTGGAGGAGACCGACCCAGAGATCCGGTCTTGCTTTTTGCTGAGACCTCTGAATCAGCGACTCCGAAGGATGTGGTTTACAGAGGGTGTGGTTCGCAACCCGCGCCTGCGGGGGGCGGGCGAGGACTTCGACAGAGATATATGCTGCTGCTCCCCGACGAGAGCCCATCAAAGTTTTGGCGCAACGTGGTGGCCCCTAAGCCTCAACGGCGCCGATCGCAAACCACACCACGGCGTAACCATTGTAGCCGCCAACCTGAAATCCAGACCCTCTCCCAAAAGCTGTTTTTTCTAAGCCGATGTGTAATCAACCCTTGGCACGGAAAGGGCCTCCAGGGGCAGAAGACAACGAAGAGCCTCCGTCTTTGAGCTTTGACCGTCGATGCGTTGGATCTCTGGGGAGGAGTTCGAAGAGGCAGAAGAGGGCCAGCGGCGGCGGCAACCCCCGCGGCGGCGGCAACGACGGTGGCGGCGGCGGCGACAAAAATTCCCTGGCCCTTCACGGGGTCCATTCCCTTCCTCGCGGATCGATATATGACGGCCCTGGGGCCGAAGACCTGTTGGCAGAAGCCACAGATGGCGACAAACCTTTACCCCGACGACGACGACGGTGATGAAGACAACGGTGGCGGCGGCGGCGGCCGCGGCAACGACAAAGACGACGACGACGACGACGACGACGACGAGAACGACGACGACAACGATGGCGACGACGGCAACGACGACGGCGACGGCGACGGCGACGGCGACGGCGATGGCAACGACGACGGCGACGGCGACGGCGACGGCGACGGCGACGGCGACGACAACGACGACGACGACGACGGCGACAACGGCGACGGCGACGGCGACGGCGACGGCGACGGCGACGGCGACGGCGACAGCGACGCGAAGGCGGCCACGGAGGCGGCGACGAATGCGGCGACGAAGGCGGTGGGGGGGCGGCACGAGAGGCCCAGGTCGCGCTCGGAGGCGCCGGTGGCGCGGCAAGAGAACTCGATCGCGTCCAGCATCCGCTCCGCCACAGCGTCGAGGTCGGGCGGGCCCGCGAGGTCCGCCAGGCCGGGACGGGGCGCAAGCTGGCAGGAGCGGCCACCGTCGAACAGCTCGATCGCATCGGACGAGACGGCGCGTCGGAGCGGGCCAGCATCGGCCTGAACTCAAGATCGAATCGCATCGGCTGCACCAATGTGCAGAGCAGTGCCATTCAAGCAGGGGGGCGCATCGGGTCGACGAAGTGTCGGAGTCGGATCGGGATCGGTCGGATCGGGATGGGTCCTGGGCCGGCGGTCGGCGGGATCTCCACTGCGGCATCCAGGACGGGTCGCTGCAGCGAGCGACTGCGAATGCGCGCAGCACCCCGCACTTGCGGATAAGAGTGAGGGGCGGTGGCCATTTACTGCCCTTAACTTTTGCCCCCCACGTACTGCCCGCAGGTGCTGCCCCCCAGCACTGCCCCCAATGTACTGACTCCAAGTATTGCCCTCGTGTGCCGCCTTCAATTAGCGCCCCCACTTACTGGCCCACGCGCACAGCCCCCCAGCGCTGCCCCAAAGTATCGCCCCCAAGCATTACCCCTGGGCCCTGCCCCCACGTACTGCGCCCATGCACTTGCCTCCAAGGCACCCCCCACGCACTGCTCCCAAGCATTCCCCGCATAGATTGCCCCCAAGCGCTGCTCCCCATGCATTGCCACCAAGTGCTGCCCCCCATGCATTTCTCCCAGGCGTCGCCCCCAGGCCAAGCCCTCCATCCAGCCGCGCGCGCGCGGCGAAGACGCACGCACGCGCGCGCTCGCTGATCGCAACGCGGCCGTCGAGGCTAGAACCTGGAGGTCGTCGCACGAGTTCTTGGAGCCCCTGCCATGGGGGACCTTTTGCGGCGGCAATAGAACGAGCATTGGCTCAAAATACGCCCCAGGATTTCCCGAGTAGCTAACGGCCCTCATTTCTGGAGCTCGTGCGTGACACAAAGGATGGTTGAAAATCTTGGAAGCCTTGAACACTTTGGAACGCATTATCATCAGGACCTCCTGCGCCTCTCAAGCAGTGGAAGCGGCGCAAGTGCCAAAGGAGGCAAACTGTCATCGGCCGTCCCTTGCGCCGACTACAGCCCCCCAGAGCCTCGAGCACGGAAGGAATATGCCACCGAGGTGGGGGCCGCGGCCATGAAGCTTTCTTCGCCCGAGGCAGGGCTGCTGGCCGCTCGGGAATGGGCTCCCCTGGCCCTGGCGAAGTACTTGTCCCCCAGGGCAGCGCAGGGCGCGAGGCGCCGCGGCCGCTGACAGAGCCTCACACGTGCATGGGAATCTCGGAGTGTTTGCGCTTGCAGGCCTTCGACCCTGTGAGGTGGTTTTCGAGTAGCTCCTTCGCGTCAGAATTCGTCTTCTGGATAAAAGGGCAACACATTCGCGTGGGGGCCTCCCAGGGGCTGCGCAGGGCGCGAGCCCTGCTTCGTCACCGCGGCCGCCCCAGGCGCCACCGGCAGCGCCCTGGGGGCGTTTCCCAAGGGGCCCACCTCACCTCACTGCAGCGGCCGTAGTGGGACGAGACGGCCCTTGCGCTCGAACTCCCCCAGCGGTGGGAGTGTCTACAGGCAAGCCCCACTCACCCCCTGGACGCTCCTGCCACCTTCCACCTCCCTTCCCCTCCTCCTGGGCCGCCTCCGTCCGCCCCATGCCTCTTCCTTCGGGGAAGCCAAAAGGTACCGATCCTGCTACTCACGCGACCTTTCCTAGGGTGCGTTCTGACCAGGATGTCGAGGCGAATCCAGCCGTGGCGACGAGGGCCTCCCAGGAGGCCCAAGAAGGCGAGAAAGAGGCAAGGGGAACGGTATAGGTACCTCTTCGTCCTCTGACCTCTCGTCCTATCCACTTACCTGCCCCTGGGGCGCAGCACCTCGCTGCCCCTGTTGGGAGCGTGGGAAGGGGCGGGCGCGGGAAGAGGCGGGAAGCCTGGCACATCTCTGCGGGCAGCGAGCACCTCCTGAAACTTGGCCTTGATGAGCGCGAGCGTGGAATGGTTCGAGATCGCCTGCTCGGCTGGCCGGCTTCTCTCGTCATAGGGGGCCTCCAAAGGCCCCCCCAGAGGAGAAAAAAACAGGAACGGGTTCAGTCGGAATCCAATCGGTGCCCGCGCTGGGTTCACTTGAGTTTCCAGGCCATCATGGTGACTTGCTTCTTCGTTTTGGTGGCGCACAGCTCCCCGTACCATGGCCGCGGCGCGCGCGCTACGCTGCGCTTGACAGTACGCTGTACACTTAGAAGCCACTACGCTGGCGGGGATGACTTTCCAGTATGGAAAATATATCGCTCTCTCTCTCTCTCTCTCTCTTTCCCCCCTTTCTCTTCCTCCCTCTCTTTATCTCTCTCTCTCTCTCTCTCTCCCTCTCCCCCCCTCCCCGTGCCATCAGGCCAGCAAAGGTGCCCCCTCCAATACCCATCACAGGCGCGCAGCCCCGTGTGAAGTGTCAAGAGGTCCCCCATCGAGCTCTTTCTCTCTCTCTCTCTCTCTATCTCTCTTTCTCTCCCTGTCTCTCTAAATATACATGTGTACATATATATATGTGCCTATATAGATCTTGAGTACTGTAGATGTGCAGCCATGCCGCAGGAGCTGAGGCCCCTCGAGTCCTGAGGTCCGCAAGTCCTCAAGTGTTTGCGGGGCCCAGGGCCCAGACTCCGGGTGTTTCGGGCACTTCCGAGCGCTTACGGGGCAGCTCGCGTGACTTGTTCACAGGCCTCAAACGTCCAACATGGTTCCAGATGGTGCCAGGACCCTTGTTAGAGCCCTCTTGGGAGCCTCTTGGGCCGTCTTGGGCACATTTGGGGCTCTGGGTAACAGCCATTTCGATGATCATAGCCATGAGTTGTGCACGAGTCAGATATTACCACGTCTGTTTGTATGTTGTCTACGACTACGCCTTGCTGATAATAGCCCTCGTCGAAACGGCTGGATGCGGCTCGGGAAACGAACCAAGATGGACCTCGGCAAAAGTCTGGGGACCCCGTTAACTTTCGGCGTGCGCCTTGGCGCGGGCGAACGACCCGTGCCGCGCCAAACCATGCGCCGACGCTGCCTGCAAATGCCCTTCGTCCCCCCTCCGGGAACAGAAGGGCACCCATACTGCTTCTCCCCCGACCTCTCCGGGAGGTGCACTCTGGCCAGAATCTCGAGAAGCATCCACCCGCGGCGACGAAGCATCTCCAGGACGAGCAGCGGCACCGGCACCGCCTCCTCCTCCGACGGGTGCTCCCCGAGGGGGGCCGGTCCGCGTGCCGGCACCATCTGCGCCCCAGGGCTGCGCCGGGCGCGAGCCCCTCGCGGCGAGGTGGCGGCCCTGGGCCTCCCAGGGGCTGCGCAAGGCGCGAGCCCCGCTCCCGTCACCGCGGCCGCCCCGGGCGCCGCCGGCAGCGCCCGGGGGGCTGCGCCAGGCGCGAGCCCCCCGCGCTGCGGCGGCCCAGAGGCGGGCGTCGGCGGCCAGGAGGCCCCGCTCCGGGAGGCTCCGAGGTGGGCACCAACACCAGCATCGTTCGGTCGGGCGTGTCCCCCCTGCGGGCGGAGTTGGCGCGAAACATCTTGGAAACGGTGAAAAAAAAATACTCCCAGAATTATGACCAAAAAGGACTCACAAAAAGCGTCCCCGTACGATTTGTGTCACTATTTTTGAAGATTCCTCCTGTAGAGGGACGTGCCCGGCTTAACAGTATCGGCGGTTCCACCGGGGGAAGCTGATCCCGATCTCGGCGACGGTGGCCCTACTCGGGACTCCTGGGTGGCCGCAAGATTACCGCCAGCACCAGTCTAGGATCCTCCTTCCCTGGCGGAGGCCCCCTCCCTGTGTTAGAGCAACAAGAAGCGGCAGAAATTCATAATCTCTGGGAGGTCCGCGCGGATTCCCCGGACAGGCGCCGGAGCCCTCGGCCCTGAAGGTCGCCGCCAGGGGGGCCCCGATCCAAGCAACCCGCGCGGATCTCCGAGAACACTCTTCTGGAGGAGCAGGAGATGGGAGCGGACGGAGCTGGTAGAAACACCTCTCGTGGTCGACAGAAGCGGGGGGAGCGGACAGACCCGAGAAACCGTGCTCGTCTATGCCGCCGCTTGCTGTGCTTCGGCGTGCTGGTGATGGTGCCACTCTCCAGGCCTCCACCGCTCCCTTCACCGCGGCCGCTCCAGGCGCCGCCGTCAGCGGCCGGGGGCTGCGCCAGGCGCGAGCCCCGCGCTGGGGCGGCCCCGGGCGGCAGGCGCCGACGACGGGCTGCCGACGTCGGGCCCGCTGCGCCTGCTCGAGGGTGGTGGCCGCGGAGTCGATGGACATGTTGAGGCAGAAGATGGATGCCTCGGGAGAGGGAGGGGGCGAGGAAGGGGGGGAGGGGGAGGAGGAGCACGACGAGAGCAGAACGGTGCCGGCGGCGGAGGAGGGAGGAAGGAAAGGGAGGGAAGAGGCAGGAGCAGAGGAGGAGAGGAGAGCGGCCGTTTCTTCAAGCGGACAGGGATGAGTTCGGCTGCCCTGCATCTGCAAGCAAGCATCTCCAAGCAGCGCACTGCTACGGCAACAGCTGCATGCAGATCGCGCAAAGCCGCGGAGTGGCGGTGCCATGTGGCACGTGAGCCCCATGGGACCTTCAGGCCTACTCCTGGGCGGCGATCCCCAGCTTAGAAGCTTCGTGCTCCCTATTGGATCAAGTTTGGGCGTGTCCGCCGGCCGGTTCCCCTTACTGGCCCTGCAGCTCTTTGAGCAAACGGCTGAAAACCGTTGCAGGTGAACTATGCCAGTTGTGCAGCCCCCTTGGCGATTGGTCCGCGGGGCCTCAACGGGTGAACCATGGCTGTGCGGGGAGTGGTCGGCGGGGCAGCGAGTCGCCAGGCGACTAGCCCCTGCTCGTGCCTGATGTACCTCCCCACAATCTGGCCTTATTGCCTCTGGGCATTGCCAGAGCGGTCAGCACCGGGAAATTATGCTCATGCGGTCCCAATCCACGTTCTCCTCCAAGTCCTTCCCCATCTTTTCCCCATCCTCCTCCACCTGCTCCTCCTCCTCCACCTCATCTTCCTCATCCGCTTCCCCCTTCTCCTCCCCCTCCTCCCCTTCCGCCTGCTCCTCCTCCTCCTCTGCCTGCTACTTCGCTTCGCCAGCGGCAACTCAACGCCATCCTCCCCATCATGAATCCTCATGAATACCACCACTAACCGTCCTCCTCCTCCTCCTCCTCCTCCTCCTCCTCCTCCTCCTCCTCCTCCTCCTCATATTCATCATCATTATCACCATCACAACAAACCACCACCACAACAACCACATCATGATCAGAATCAGAATCAGCATCATCATAGTCATCATCATCATCATCAGCAGCATCATCAGCATCATCATCATCACCATCACGATCACCATCACCATCACCACCACCACCAGCATCATCATCATCAGCATCATCATCCTCATCCTCAGCATCATCAGCATCATCATTATCATCATTAGCATCATCGTCATCGACAGCATCATCAGCATCAGCATCACAATAACAGCGTCAGCATCAGCAGCAGCATCGTCATCATCAGCAGCGGCAGCATCTACATCATCTGCATCATCAAAATCAACAACAACAACAACAACAACAACAACAACAACAACAACCACAACCACAACCACAACCACAACATCATCATCATCAACAACAACAGCATCATCGTCATATTCTACCTCATCACCAGCATCAGCAGCATAGTCAGCATCATGAAACGACATCATCAGCAGCAGCATCCTCATCAGCATCATCCATCATATTAGTCCTCATCACCAGCATCAGCAGCATCAACATCAGCATCATCAACAGCAACAGCAGCATTGTCGACATCATCATCAGCACAAGCATCATCATCATCATCAGCATCATCATCATCAGCATCATCAGCATCATCGGCATCATCAGCATCAACGCATCATCATCATCAGCAGCATCCTTATCATGATCATCGACATCATCTGCACCATCATCAACAACAACATCAGCATCAGAGTTAGCACCAACATCATCAGCAGCAGCACCATCTTCACGACCACCACCACCATCATCAGCATCATCATCGTTATCATCATCACCACCACACCTAACATTATCAGCATCATCAGCATCAGCATCTGCATCAACATCAGCAGCATCAGCATCAACATCAAGGTCATCATGATGAGCAGCATCATCAGCATCATCAGCAGCATCATCATCATCATCCATAATCATCAGCATCATCATTATCAGCGTCAGCAGCAGCAGCGTCGGCATCATCATCATCATCAGCAGCATGATCAGCATAATCATCCTCAGCATCCTCGGCATCAGCATGATCATCAGCAGCATAAGCATCAGAATCAGCATCATCGTCATCAGCATCATAATTATCATCAGCATCATCATTATGTTCGTCATCATCAGCATCATCATCGGTGTCGTCGTCATCCGAATGGTCGTCCCCATCGATAAGTATAAACACCGTCGGAATCACAATTATCATCACGACCACCGATCGTACATAATCGGAAGATCGCCATGGGCAGCAGCAGCAGCATCATCATCAGCATCATCATCATCAGCATCAGCATCACCACCACCACCGCAAGCATCATCATCATCATCATCATCATCAGCATCAGCATCATCATTACCAGCATCATCATCAACATCAACATCATCATCGTCATCAGCATCGTCATCAGCATCATCAACATCAACATCATCAACATCAACATCATCATCGTCATCAGCATCATCATCATCATCATCATCATCATCATCATCATCATCAACAGCAACAGCAGCATCATCATCATCATCATCATCATCATCATCAACAGCAACAGCAGCATCATCATCATCATCATCATCGTCAGCATCAGCATCAACATCATCATCATCATCGTCAGCATCGTCAGCATCATCATCGTCATCAGCATCATCAGCAGCAGCAGCATCGTCGTCTGCCGTCGTCGTGAAGAGCCCGCCCCTGGCCCCCTCGCTCTCCGCGGCACCCTCCTATAGAGAGGAGGGCCGGGGAGCAGCTGGGGGAGCAGGGAGGGGGCGGGGACGAGGGGGATCAAAGCGGGAAGGCAGGGTAGGGCAAGGAGGGGAAAGAGGAAATTAGGAGAGAGAGAGAGAGAAAGGGGAAGAAAGGGGGGGAGGGGGAAGCGGGGAGAGGAGGATGCACGAGGGGCGCACTGAGGGAGGGAGGGGTGCACGGCGGAAAGGGGAGGCGGAAGGGGAGGGGGGGGCGGGGGGAATGGGGTGGGGAGGATGAGGAGGAAAACGAGGAGCGGGGGCGGGGGGAAGAGCAGAGCCCTGCTACGCCCCGCCAAGAGAACACAAGGGACGGCTGGCCACAGCGGGGCAGCACATTTGTTCACGCGGCTGGGTCAGCAGCCGCATGGCGCTGCGCTGTTATCCTGTCTGCGGCCCACCCCTGCGCGCGCCGGCCTGGAATGGGACCCGGCAGGACCGGCGGGTGCGGGCCAACCTGAGCATGCCGAACACACGGTCCGAACGATAGGGTGAGGTCTGGCATATCCTCCTACAGGTGCCGGCCGGGTCCCGGGCGATCCCCACGGGGGAGGCTAGGGTTAGGTCTGGCATATCCTCCCACAGGCGGATTCTGGAAGAACATAAGCCATAGTCAACAAAATCACAGAGTCAAAAATGGTTAAAATCGTCCCCAGGCTATTTTTTCGACTGCTCTTGAGCACTCCTCCTGTAGAGGGGCGCGCGAACTGCACAGCTCCACCGATCCTGGCATGGCCCAGCCCGGGCCCATGGTCGGTGCGAAGACGCCCCCCCTCTCCTGTCGGGGATGGACAAAACCCCCTTTACGCGGTTCAGTGAAAACGACCTCGGGCCCAAATCTGGCGGGCGCCAGCCTGGAAAATGACGGCCGCGGCGCCCTCTCGAGAACCGAAAACGGACAATTCTGGGAGGAGGAGGGGGAGGAGGAGGAGGAGGAGGAGGAGGAGGAGGAGGAGGAGGAGGAGGAGGAGGAGGAGCAGCAGCAGCAGCAGGAGCAGGAGGAGGAGGAGGAGAAGGAAGAGGAGGAGGAGGAGGAGGGGGAGGGGGAGGAATCGACGTGTCAGGGTGGGGGCTCCTGTCCACCCCCGATCCTGGCCAGGGAGGCCAGCCGCACACGCGGGAGCGGCCCTCGGCAGGGAGAGCGGCCCTCGGTGCGTGGCCTCCCACGGGATGCTGCTGAAGTGCCCCTGAGCCAAGGTTCAGGTCGGGCCCGTGTCCCCCGACAGTCCGATTTGGGAGGAAAATATTTAAAGTATTTTTTTTTTTTAAGACTCCGAATTGGTCACGCAAATCATCGCAAAGTCGTCCCCTGGCGATTGTTTTCCCGCTCTCGAACATTGCTCTTGTAGAGGGACAGGACAGGCCCGACTCAAGCCAAGGGTGCTCCCCAGGACTCTCGGGGTGGCCCAGACGGCCTCCCGAGCACCGCTCGCGAGGCCCAGGGGGGCCTGCAGGGGCCCCAAGAGTGGAGCGAGAAGCCGGGGACACCTGGGGCCAGGGGCACCACCGGCAACCCCCGATTCCGGGGGCTGCGCGGGAGGCCACGTCAGCGCAGTCGTTACCAGCCTCGAACGTATCCCTATCCCTAAGATTGACACGCCAAAAGGCGATGACAATGTGAGAGATTCGCTCTCAAAAAATAAGGGAATCCCTAAGATTGGCATCGTGATGAGGAGGTGCCCAGCATAGGGACAGGGATGTGTTCCAGGCTGGTAAAATCCAGGCGCGCCAGAGGTCACTCCCGGCAGAAGGCCACTCCAGCGAGGGGTGGCGCTTCCCGCGCAGCCGCAGAGGAGGCGCGCGCGCCGATCGTGCGCCCCGCGTCGGCCCGGGAAGGGCCGCTGCAGGTATACGGTCGGCGCCGTCCCGCGGGATCTGCTCGCACGAGATGGGCACGGAAGAGATGGGTACGATGCTGAAGGGGCCCGGGGACACACAGATAAAGATGCACAAACCCCAGGATTGCCCGTATTTTCCCCGGATGTTTTGGAGTTTCGTCGTCCCCCCCACTTCCCATATTTTCCCATCTTCTCTCGGGAATCGGCGATTCGTTGTCTGTGAGTTCTTTCCCCTCCTGAGATGCCCAACAGTAACTGCCGCCCAAAACTGAAAGCGGTCGCTGTTGGGCAGGCGGCTTTATGTCTCAAACAGGACAACGCCCGCGGCGGCGCGGACAAGGAGTCCTGCGAAAAATGGGCACGAATTGCCGTTGTGCGAGGCGGGGATTCATACATGTCCACCGCCTGGGAACCGACGTCCTGGTGCCCTAGCGGGCGGTGGATATGGATAT